GAGGGGTGTCTCAGGCGTGTATTGGCAAGTCCACATCTTTAATATAGGACATTAACAATATGGTCAATTGACAGCTGTCCAAACAGGATAGCCACTGACCAGTATCCCATGACCATATCGCGGGCTCATGTGTCAACTCATCGAGGTGACGTGTTTATTTGAAAGCTGTCCGCTGACCAGTTAACTGTTTTACTAGATCGCGAACAACGTTCAATCTCATACTTTTACTAGTTTGGGAGCAAAGGAAAACTGATAATGCACACATATTGGACATCAATGTTTTGATCAATTGACAGCTGTCAAAACAGAGTACCCGCTGACCAGTATCACTTGCCCGTATCGCGGGCTCAGGTGTTGATCCGTCGAGGTCAAGTATTTTTTGAAGTTATCCGCTGACAAGTAAACTAGTTTTCAAGTGATCGCAGGCTCAAGTTCAATTTTTTTTCTTAATTCATATGAAATATGTTGTGTTTATGTGCTGGACAATTAAAATTTTGATTGCAAACTGACCTCGGACGTGAAAATTCAGCCAGCTGTTACAGGCAGGGAAGACAGTTGCTTTTGTTTTTTCTCACAATGGTCACGCGTTGGTCACGCTCTACGTCCAATTTTTATGCTCTGATTGGTCAAAATTTGACAGGTGAGTTCATGCGCAAAATTTATGCAGCATCTTGAATCTTGTTTACTTTAACAGCTGAAGCTGACAGAGTTTTGTGTCAACTTGTGATGTTTTTAACTGTCTTTTTCCACTGGATGTACAAAATGAAATTCAGCTGCTATCAGGAGTCTTCTGTTACTCATGGCTAGTTTGTTTATTGGGTTTTTGGTTGAGAAAACGTCGCTTGTCAAAGTCGGAAATCCGATTTCGGATGGCATCGTTTTCGTTTTCACCTTGCTTGATGCGTAAGAGGATTGCAAAGTCTGAAGCGATACTGGCTTTACCTGATAACTTTCAGGAGCTGCATCTCGAATGGTAAGCCAGAGAAATTATTGTATTTCATGTTTGTTTTTTGTATCTAATTTAATGAAGTGGAGCGTAGTTTATGCGGGAATTTAGTTTATGCGCGTTTGTAAGATTTGAGACAACGATCTCACCGAGTATCTGGTTTGATATAATCTTACAGAACTTTAAAAAGCCTTTAGACAGTTTCTCGCCGCAAATAGAAAGAAAATGTTCCAAAGAATCTTTAGTTATAATTCTAGCCGGAGAAGAAAGCTTTGAACGATTTTCTTGCCTCGAGTTCGTCTTTGAAAAAACAAACACCGGGAAGCTGGCTTAAAACATAAACTTCAGCAAACTTAAGCTTGAAGCTTGAAGATTCAGGATATTTAGGGACACTTTAATACTTGTCTTCCTGAATGAAAATTGTTGTCTCTGTTTATGTTTCACCGAATTATATTTCTTTTATTGATTGTTAGTAGTCTCTCTTGCAATTTTAATCGCTATGCCGATTGTTTTCAGTCGTTCAGTGAACATCGCTTGCAGGAGTTCTCAAAATGCCGCGCGTTAAACCATCAAATAAAAAATAAACATCATAAATTCTTTATTATCTTGGAGCGTAACTCTGTTAATGTTCATTCAAACACTCGCTACAGCTCGCACTACAAAAGTGAGAACCGGATGGCCGTATAGGTGATTTTGGAAAATTTTTTTAACAGTTTATGAATATTGAATGAGAGCAATTTGTATTGTGAAATACTGCTTTCTGTCCATGGTATGAAAGGTTGGTTTACACGCACCCAGATTTGTTGGCAAGATTTTGCAAAGTAAACTTGTCGAACGCCAAAACGTTGGCCTGGTTTTTTTTCTAAGCCTAATTGATCTACGGTGATCAATAGCCATTAAGGCTCTTAAATGTGATAAAAGATGATTACCAGTTTTTGAGTGTACATATGAGGCTATCAACTCGATGTAAGATTTGGTTCACTCTTGGGCTGTTTGCAAATTATTTTTCTCTAAAATCAGGTAGCCTTTCCCTCAAAAGTCACATAAATGTGCTCTAAAGTTAACTGAATTGTGGAATTCGAATACAAGTTTATTGTTTAATTTAAATTATAAATTTACTAATGGGAGCCTCGCTTTTAGCCCTGGCTAAATCTATATATTAATATTATTTACGTCCTTGTGCTCATATGCAGAATTGCAAAAAAAGCTCAATCTCTCGTTTGTCTTAGTCCTTTCGTAAAGGAGTTTGCAGTCTCTTCATACCGCTGAAGCTACGCTCAGCTGTATATGTTGACACTGGATAAGTCAACAAAGTTATGAGAACCCTGACATATACTCTGGGATAGAATTGGAGTTAATTGGAGTTGGCTTGGTCAAGAGTCTCAACCAAGGTCTGTTGCCCATTTCACTCAACTTAATCAGTAACGGGATAAAGGAAATCCTAACCAAAAAAAATACCAATATAATACGAAATATTTATCCCGATTTAATGATAAAAATGCTTTCAGCAAATAAAAAAAAACTCTTTATAATTTTTTTGTCCAGATTTCGGCTTTATGCATAAGCGTGTGTGCGTACATGCACGCTAAATTCCTGGCAAGAGAAATAGCTGATAGGTTCCTGGGCCGGGCTGTATACGGGTAACATTTTGTTGCTGACAAAGAACCGCCAAAGTGGTTTTTCTTGTCTTCTTTTGAAGGAAACGTGGATCTGCTTCAATGATAATATAGTTTGACAACATCTTCATAGAAGACCAGTCCTGTGTATCAATCATGTTTCGACCTCTCTCACATTCTTTGCATTTTCAAAATTGACCCCCAAAATGAAGCCTCTTAGAAAATCGAACCCCCTCCGACCCCGACCCCCCCCCTCTTCCTCAGCTCCGGGACGTAATAAACGATCGGTCTTTTAAGGTCTCTATAGTTATTCATTATCGTGAGACCCTGTCGAAGGCAATAAAGGCCCAGCGTGCCTGCTATGTTCCAATGATTTTCCTTTCCTCCTATTTTGTTTGAATCAGTTCAGTGACGCACGCATGGGGGTATTTTCTTTGGTCTAATGCGTACATGTACATCACAAGCTCTGGACCAGAAAGCAGTCCCCGGGTCGACTTTGCGACACAAACTGGCTCCTGGTATAACCTCAAATCCGTAGTTAACGGAACCAACGTAAAAATATACGTCAACAACAGGTTGGTCAAGGAAATCACAATGTCCGGAAAGGAAGCTAATTCCAGGACCAACAATTACGTTGGAATATGGTGTCACGACAGTATGGATCCTATAGCTGGAGACAGTTTTAAAGGTAGAATAAGGAAGGGAAGATATTCGATGAAAAAAAAAAAAAACGCCGGGAGGGCGGGGGGGCTGGGGGGGAGGGGTTGTAGCGGCGAACGAATAGAATAGAATTTAATATTAAGTTAACTGTCTTAACTCCGTATTATTTCATTGCCCTGTTGTACTTTTTTTCTAATTTCTTTTAGCCCTGTAATAATTTAACAATTAATTCCGCTTTACTCTATTAATGTCTATTGTTGAAATGCTTTCTTGTAGTATCTAATTTGATTATCAATAAATATATTTAAAAACAAGTTCGTTCCCAGTTACACGGTCGGCAGACCAGCATAGACCCTGTTTTCACACCACAAAAAAAGACTGGTGTGAAAGTTTTCACCTTCAATTTTGCTCTCGCGTACTTAATTTGACTCCTAAAAGCCTGATCCCGAGGCCAAAGACTTACTTACTTGTTCACCTTAGAAAAGCAAACAATATCGTACCTGTCTGTCTCAAGGTTGCCATTAATTTCCACTGACGCGTTTTTGGCTACGTACGCGTAAATTTTAATCACGTTTATAAAATAGAGGCAAGATAAAAAGTGCTGAGCTTAAACGAGAAGTTGAGCGAAATTCTTTTACGCGTACGAGCGAACTTTCATGCATTGCCTCTATTTTATTTCCGAGCGTGGATTTTACGCACGCACGCACGCACGCACGCACGCACGCACACTAGAAATCAACCCTCAGCCCGGATCAGGGTGATTGATCCGTTTAGCCAAATGAAACGAGAATACAATACGATATTGGACGATGCAGACTCTGCGAATCGTATTAACTTTGTCCAAAACAACACAGTAAACAAGCTAAGACAGGGGCAGTTGAGAGAAATTATAAAATGTTTTGCTAACCCGGTTTTCATAAATCTAGGTAGAAATAAATTCCTACATAATTAAGGTTAGGTGGCTGAAAATGACACTAAACAATGTGCTATAAGGTTCTGCGATTGTAGAATTTTAAACAGAAAACGGAAACTGTAAGAGCATAGATTAGCTTTTTTCTGCTATTGAATATAGAATAGGAAATGGCAACTTTGAGTGGACGAACCGTTCACGGAGTCTATAGCTAGAAACGTAAATCTACGTGTACATATGTTACCCAAGCCAAAGCAATTTATATTTGTTCCATGTGAGACATGTTAAAGTAATGTATGTTAAAGCTATACAAATTCCTCAATGGCTGAATCCGGCAAGTTTCCTAGGAACCAAAATAGCAAGGAAGTGTAGGAAGTGTAAGAATATTACCATTAAGTGTGCATTTTCGTTTACTTAGTTCTTCTTCGGCAGGGGCGGATCCAGGATTTTTTTAGGAGGGGGTGCACTCGTCTCTTGCTCTACTTCAGCACCAATAAACCACATAGTTTTTTTTTTGCAGAATACCAGTTGTATAGGAAAACCGCAGGTCACCTCAGGGAAGGGGGGGGGGGGGTGCGCACCCCCGGCACCCTCCCCCTAGATCCGCCCCTGTTCAGTCTGCTTTTGTCTCTTTTTTCATCTTCTTCCTAAATGAATAATGTTGTGGTTAAATTTAAACATTGGTTCAAATATTACTTTCTTTAGTTTCAAACTCATTATCAGACATAACCATACCCAAAAACAATAGAAAAAAAAAATTAAACCAAGGATAAACCTGAACCACAACGAATATGTCACATTGGAAATGATTGCATCCTTCGATATACGTCATTAATTTTCATGATCCATTTTAGTTTCCCTTCCAAGATGTCCAGCTCTTACCGTCAATCGATTCGTTAAAACATTTCCCGACAGCTGTGTGACGTCACAACAGGACAAAAACACAACATGCTCGTTCTCATGTCCACAGAGATACCAACTACAAGGTCCTTCTTCAACGCAGTGTGGGTTAAGTGGTCATTGGACTAACAATGCCAAGAATATTTCATGCATAGGTGAGTTTCGCTAACGTTAATTGATTTGTAAATAACGTTTATTATTTGATCGAGCAGGAAAACGTCTACATCTGTCAGGAAGTTTACTTATTCATTCGGTTAAGTTTTCAAAAAGAGATGCTTTTTATTCGCAATCTTAGGCCATCACTGAATAACTGCTTTTGTAACCATATTCGTGCTTAAATGTTTGTTGTTATTCATTCAAAATATTTTCCCGATTCTGATTGGCTAAAAGCGCACGCATAACTTACCATAACCAGTTACTGATGACCAAATTTGGAAGAATTTTGTTTTTAACGAGGAAATGACGTCAAAAATGCAGCGTTCTTGCAGGTTCATACACCGTTAACCGAGAAGACCTGGGATCGCGGTTGAGTTGTTTTGGTTGTTAAAACAAAAAATAGAGGACATTTCACTCGTTTCAAGAGTAAGAACTAGGCAAAATTATAGCTAAAAACATGGCAAGAACAGGAAGAACACAACTCGAAGGGCGACATCTGCTATTTGGAGAATATTTGCGGAGCTGAACAACCCTAAACGTGCACTATCGAAGGTGAACTTAACATCTATGGATCGGAGGTAAACATGTTTTAGCTTTGTTTTTAAACGAGGAATTATTTTGAATGAATAATAAAACAATTATTGAATTCGGCTTTCGTATCATATGAAGATTTATAATTTTTCATAAGATACTCAGCCTCATTCATTGTTAATTAAAAGATTTTTTCTTTGTTAGTATACTGATTACTCGTGACTCGAAACTCCTTAATACATTCATATAGTCTCCATTGATAGTCTTGATAATGTTGCTACGATGATTTTCTTTTGGCATAACATGAATATTCTGATAATTATTATTTAGCTGAAAGACAATAAAAGAACATCTTTTTTTTTTAAATTAAATCAGGTGCTTCTATTATCGGCCTTCCTTGGCTGTAATTTACGCTGGATTTGCCCCTTGTAAGGGAATCTTAGAGAGCTTTAGATTCTCGATTTCCACGCCATGAATTCCAGATTTTAGGTAGTGGTTACCAGAATCTTTGTCAGTCGAACTGGGATTTCGGATTCCAAACGTCAAACAAGGTTTCCGACAATTTATCTAAGTATAAAGCATCTGGAACTAGAAATCACCAGAATTTAACTAAATGTGCCTTTTCTTTGAAAAGCTACAAATGCTCCACGGTGAGGGTCAGCAGATTCAGTCAAAGAGTCCACCGTGGGCCTTTGAAAATGTCTGCGAAATGCGCCTCCCTGGGGACAAGACAAAAGTATGTTTCCTAGAAAGAGGCTAAAAATCACAAATGCACGCAGTGTGTAAATTTAAATGAACGAAATATTGTTAACTTTACAAGTGAGACTAAAAAAAACAAAAACGCGCCTAATAAAAATTAACTGCTACGGATAAGCCCTGAAGAATTTATGCAAAATTTTACCACGCATTCGTTCTTTTGTTTCAAAAGACTCGTTTTATACGGATAATTCTGCTTGACGTAGCTGTTCAACTGACCAAATATCTTATTGATAATTCGCAGATGGAACAGTTCCAGTCCGCCCATAAACTCAGTCATGTTACTGAATCCGCAGTTTTAAGGTTCAGTTAGATGACATTTTTCCAAGCCGTTAACAATGATCAATGCGTAATATTACTGCTCCTCGACCTCTCAGCAGCGTTTGATGCGGTTGATCATGGCATTTTGCTTGCTAGACTCACCGACTGATCTGGCATAGATGGTAAGGGTCACGCCTGGTTTAATCTTTGCTATCAGTAGTTCCCGCTCATCCAGTCTGCTGTTGAATTGTGGCGTTCCCCAGAGGTCTGTTTTAAGTCCGATATTATACCTGATTTACGTCTAACCATTGAGTGACATAATGAGGCCTCTCAACGTGTCTTTTCACTTTTATGCTAATGATACTCAGTTTTATGTATCATTTAAGTCGTCTATTTTGGGTAATTCTTCCAGGGCACGCTTTACGTTGATAAGACGGAGATGCTGATTTTCCATGCTAAGCACCGTCCTGCTCCCCTTCTCGGTCAACTTCAACGTAGCCACCTCATCTGTCACCTCTTCCGCTTCTGCAAAGAATATTGGAGTGCTTCCGAATTCGACGCTTTCACTTGACAAGCACGTTACGCAAATTTGCAAATCTTCCTTTTATTCCATTAGGGACACTTTGCGCATCAGAAATTTTTTAAGTCTCCAGACAGCGAAGATCCTTTTCCACGAATTTGTTACCTCAAAGCTTGATAATTGTAACTCTATGCTTTATGGTCTCCCCAAGAACTTATTACAGCGTCTGCAATATGTTTTGAACTCTGCAGCTGGGCTTGTCACTATGTCAAGAAAATCAGATCACGTTGCGCTACTACTGCTTTTTCAGTTACATTGGCTGCCTGTTGAGCAGAGCTTTGAAATTAAAGTGCTGCTTTTTTACATTTAAGGCTATGCAAGGCTTGGCTACTCAGTACTTAAGTGTTCTCCTAGAGCCTTACTCTCTATTACGTAGTTTGCGATCTGTTTCGAAACTGTTGCATAATTCGCCCTCACTTAGTCTTAGAACTTACGGATATAGATCCTTTTCGGTTTGTGCACCAAGACTTCGGAATTCGCTGCCAATGCTGAGGACATGTCTTTTAATCAATCAATCAATCAATCAACTTTATTGGTACATCCAATTAAAATGGGTTTTCACATACCAATTACAATAAAATCTAATATGAACAATAGAAATCTAAAATAAACATTTGAAATTGACAAAACATGTCTTTTTAAGAAAGCTGTTAATTGAATCATTTATTTATTTTGGAGACTGTGAACTTTGCGATGATGATTTTTAGATAGTTTTTACTTTTTTTAGATTTTCAGTGGTTTGTAAAGCGCCTTATAGATGCCGGCAGAAAAGGCGCTATATCAGTTGTTTCTGTTATTATTATTATTATTATTATTATTATTAGTATTATTATATGCAGCAACTTTATATAATCAAGCAAACGATAAATATAGCCATTAGAGCAACATATTACATCTTTTGTTGTAGAAATAGAAATTGGGATAGCCCAGACTTTATGCAATTTTGATTACTTTTGTTTTCTTTCTTTGTTTTTTGTTTTTTTTTTGTTTTGCTTTTTTTTCGTTTTGTTTTTTAATAATCCAATCTCAAGCAGCATTTGTAAATTGCCTATACTTAGCGAGATTTACAATTGTACATTCAAAAACACAAATAAAGTTCCATTATTATCATCATCATCATCATTATTATCATTATTATTATTATTATTATTATTATTATTATTATTATTATTATTATCATCATCATTATTACTATTATTATTTTTCACGAGGCAATCATTGCAAATAAAGAAAATGTCTTTTCAAATTCCTTGCAAAGCTTTCCAATATCCTCCACGGCCTTTTCCTCAAAATTGTGGGCTCTTCTCTACTAAATCATTTTATTCCGCATGCCTAGCTTTTGGTAAAGGCAAAAATCTTTTATCAAAACCAAATATTTCTTCAATAAGCTTCACTATTTATGTACATGTACCATAGAGTTTCTTTTTTGAATTGGTAGAAATTAAGAAATCTACAAGTGACACACTTCCCATCCCGGGCAGAACTTTGATACCAAATTCTCCACCATCGGAACACAGCAACTGACAAATGGTCACTGAAATCCCAGTAATTACGTTTAAGCTCCGCGAAGACGCTTGACTGTAATCTTGTTAAGAGATTTCAGCAACAGAAACAATAGTGACTTCCACTTATCCTCCGTCGCCGTGTATTCGGAGTTTCTCACTGCCTCCCACACTTGGCACCAATCTTGCTGTAACCTAATGCTCCGGAGTGAATGGGGCCGTTTCGCTGACTAAAATAAAGAGAGGATCTTGCAAAAAAAAGTACTGTTTTGGGGTCTTATTTGGTTATCTTAATTAGGGCCAATAAAGACTAATTTTCTAGGGCTCATTGGAATCCACAAGCTCAAATGGGTCCCAGAAAGGCCTGGAATAGATATTTGATGGGGATGGTTTGGTCCAAATTGTCTCGAATGGCTCCACGAATCCGGTGAAATCATACTTTCTAGTCAAAGGGCTAAATTAGAATCTCGGGGCCAAGGAAGATTTTTCTAATATTCAGTTCACGGTGGGGTTATCCATCAGTGGATGACAACCTCCTTAAAAGAAACAACAAGAAGGTTTAGAGCTCTTACATTTAGAGTCTGCACGTCTGAGTACCACTATAATTTTAAGATTGCCTCTTTTTAATAACCAGACATTGACGAGTGTGCTGTGTCTAACGGCGGCTGTAGTCATAAGTGTGTCAACTTTGCGGGAGGCTTTAAATGTGAATGCCCTGACCCTGAATTGAGCATGTCATCTGACAACAAGACCTGTCATGGTAAGTATAAAAGACGAAATTTGAAAAAAAAGACAGTTCTCTGGGGTACCATCACGTGGTTTGTAATGGGAAGACAAAACATACAAGCTAAAAACGTATATTGAAGTAACAAGAAAGTGTTAAATGATAGCCTGGGTGCCCTGAGTTTGTTTAGCTGGATGAGAAACACTTGTGAAGGCAAAACCACAACGACAAACCAGTGAGGGTCCGCCGGATCTTTAGTAGACCTGGAGCAGTAAAATCTTGAGTACCAAATTTCAAACTAAATAATATTAACTTCAAAAAATAATGATTTAAATGTAGGAAATTATAACTCAATGTCTGAATCCAATAGTAATAGATAGGCCAACCAAATGTTAAAGTTCGCAAAGACTGCTTTGCTACTCCAGCTAGTTATTTTTCGTGAGAGTCGTTTGTGTTACAGTCAACCCAGGTCAAGCGTAACCCCCCCAAGATCCCATTAATGAATTGATTATTCAAGTTGAATCCGTCGTTAGTTGTAGATTTCAGATTCATCTCTGCATTCTTGCATGCGTAATGAGCCGTGAATTCACACGCGAGGCAGTTACGAAATTTCTACCAGCTCAGTTTCCCTGAATTTGATGTGAGTGTCTCTTAAGAAATATAATCCATTCAAAGATTTTCAATCTGACCAAATGCAGAGAAGTTCTCGTAAAATGTTCACTGCTCATTACGCATGCAGGAATGCCGATTTGAATTTGACACTATATACGGGAACCATTAACGGATTCATTTTTCAAATAATCAAGTCATTAGTAGAATCTTGGGGGATACGCTTGACCTGCTTTGACTGTAATTGTGTTATTTTAGCTCCAGGTGTTAACGTGCAGTGTAAGAGTGAAAACATGACCATCATCGTCCCCAAGTCACTCCTCTTTGGTATTGACCGTGAACACCTTCGACTCCTGGACACTAGTTGCAAAGCTGCAGAGAATAACACCCACTTCTCACTCACATCACCACTGACTGGCTGTAACACAACAAGCAGGCACACACCCACAGCTATCGTCTACTCCAACGCAGTCTTAGACATGCCCGTGGCTGTTAAAAATGTGGTGACACGTGTTCGTAAATTAGAAATACAATTCAGCTGTTTTTACAGCAAACATGGCGTGGTTTCATCAGTTGTTTGGAAAGCCAGTAACAGAAAGCTTGTGTTTAGCAATGAAGGAGAAGGGAATCTGACGCTGGCACTTGATATGTTTCCTAACAAAACATTCGTGAGTCCTTACTCGAAGAGGGACTTCCCTGTGGCAGTGATACTTCGCAAGCCCCTATTCTTTGAAGTGTCTGTCATATCAGATGACAAGCAGCTGTCAATCAGAGCAGATCGCTGTTATGCCACACCCACTCAGGATCGTTCGAACCCTCTGAAGTATGAGTTCATTAAACAAGGGTACGATAATACATTATAGAACAAAGACATTTTTTTAAATCTCTGTAAAACAAAAAATGCCCTCAATTAATTAAGAAACGATACACGCAGACAGGGGGGGGGAATGGAGCCGAAAAGTGTCCTGAAATTTTATCTGGGATCATTACTGGGGACGCGCATATCAACTATTGGCCATGTTTGCCCTGTACCTAGTAAAAGTCCCAGAAGTCTTTGCGAAACTCATTTGGCCCAGTTTCCTTCCGGTTTTCAAAGTGGCGAATTGTTGTCGAAGAAAAGCAATGTCATCTCCGCGTTTTTAGGGGGAGGGGTTAGTGGGGTTTGGTGATTTCTGCGAGTTTTTAAACTGACTTAGCGGCGTAAAATTCATTATGTAGTCGGCCACTAATGTATGGCATACACTTAATTTAAACGATTAAAGCAATTAATTAAACCGATATAGACACAGCATCTAAATTTCTTTTTATTTGTACCTAATTTTTAACTCAGTTATTAAGGTAGTTCTACCTTTGTTTGATTTCATTTCTCTTAGATGCCCAAGTGATGCAACCTTACAGTACCATTCTGCGCCCTTAGCTGGTGTTCAGCGGTTTAGCCTGGAAGCCTTCAAGTTTATTGCAGATCATCCATTTGTTTTTCTTCACTGTCACGTGATCCTTTGCAATGCCTCTGACCCAAGCTCCATATGCAATAAAAGCTGTTCGTCAAGCGCCAGACGAAGACGTGAAGTTAGTCCCCAAGAAAATGACGTCTACACTTTGGGAGAAGGCCCAATCTACCTGGCACGCGGAAAAGACGAGGAAATACAATCTAGTGGTCTGGGTATGAGGGGTATGTATCAGTGGGCATGTAGCATAAAATTTATAAAATGACTGAAATAATCAGCATTTGGTTCCAGTTTAAAGAACCGTGTTAAAATGGACTATACGCGATGATGATGCAGATACTTCTGATTCAATATTGTGAAAAACTTTATTTCTAAACTTAAAGTAAAGGACGGACTCTCTTATAACGTCTGGCTGCATCTTGTACACAATATCCCGCCCTCCTTTTTATCTGCATACGAAGCTTCCGTGGCACCTTCACATATAATATGTAGCCATTCTAATTTCACCAAATAAACTAGACTCTAATTCTTTCACTTTTTAGCCTTTATGTTATTTGAATCTTCAGCTTCTACACATTGTCTGATTCTAGTTCTGATCATTTCTATATCTGATTGCAAACTAATCGAGCCTTGCACCTAAATTGCGTAATTGAGCATGAAAAATCTTTCGCAACAATGACTCAAACACCCTGAAATAGGTATTAAGAAGTGTGTCCCGTTTCTTCATTCTCGACCATTTTGTTGATTCTGAAGCTAAATTTCTTCTTTCTAGGTTCCAGTCCCTTCATTATAATGGCTCTACTTGTGACAAGTATCGCCTTCGGTGGGTACACCGCTGATAACCCTTAAGAAGTCACCTGACAGGACTATGGTAATATCAAGTTACGACAAAAAATAAAGGCATGCTTATTCACGTTAACTTGATTTGACACATTTTTTCTGATGAGCTTAGTTGATTCGTATTCATTGTTCAACGGCTTTTTGCTCTCAACACCGCGAAAATCCCTCTATAAAGTAGAAAGACAACTCAAACTTTTCACCTCGCCGAATTCTTTTATACTTCTAAAACATTATAAAAGCTACTTTTAATCTTTAAGGCCTAAGCCAAACGTCGAACTTTTCATGAGACAAACCAAACTAAGTGAGTTAAGTTCGACGTCTGGCTCAGTTAAGTTGGTCTCAATGAGTTTGGATCGTCCAAGACGTTCTATCAGTCCCTTCCAGACGGATAGAACGTCTGACGATCGTTTCCGTGACAAACGTCAATCTTCATATGCGACGAACTAAACTAAAGCTTTAGTAAGACGAGCAACAAAACAGTGCAACTTGTTTAGCAACATTACTGAAAAACGAGTTGAAAAGCGTTGTTGCGCCTTTTCAAACCCTGTTAACAACTTTATTTGTTTCAAGACAGGTTTGATGTGAGTGGTAAACGCGCAACGTCGTTATTCAACTCTTTTTGCAGCAATGTTGCAGGACAAGTTGCATGTTTTTTGTTGCCCGTTTTTCCTTACCTTAAGAAATAGAAGAATTGTATGATAATGCATATTCAGGTACCCATAGACAAAAAAGATTTGAATAATTTTGAGTGGAATTATTTGGCACTTTTCATTTAAATTATAGTTGGAAAGGGAACTAACTTGATTATAGACCTTTTAAGCTTGCATGTTTTGTTTTCCTAAATAAATTCAGATGACACAATTTTCTCAAGCAAATTTGCCTTAAAGTCTTAAAATAATAAATTAGGCATCCAAATGCATGTGGATAGGACGACATTTGAAAGAATCAGTTCTCTGGGGTAACATCACGTGCTCTGAAACTGAAAAACAAAACATGCATGCTCACAATTGCCCCATGTAAGAGATTTCGGAATCCGGGAAATTTTTGCTTGTGGAAACTGGAAACTTGGGCTTTGGAATCCGGAATACAGATCAAGGAATCTGGAATCCAACTAACGATTGGAATCCCGAATCTAGCTTCCACTGACAAAAAATCCGGAATCCAGTACCTGGAATCCTGAATCCCCATCTGCAAATCCAGAATCCAAGACTATCTTAGATTCCTTTACATTAGGCGATATTTAAAAAGGTCCATTGACCGTCATGTCTCCTCAAATGATTGATGATTAAATTAAGATGAGCGTATGATACAGAGCGGAAGTGGTTCTGTTGATAGAATAACCCATCCAAGGTGATACGTGTGAGGATGAACATAGAAATTAAAAAAGGGAGGCTTGTTACCTTTCATGTTTTCAGTGTGACATCGTTTATCATGATATTAATAAAGTTGCATTTGATAAAATAGAAACAACTGTCAAAGTGTCAAATTGCAAGACGAGCAAAAGGGTGCTGCGGACAGTCATACCTCTATTAAGTGGTCAAAGTCCCAGATCTCTGTTCCCTTATGTACTGCAAACCTGCCCCTGACCTGTATCAAGCAGTCACCTCTATCACCAGTCACAGACACCTTTTCCAAGGTCCCAAAAAGTTTTTCTTCTTTTTTTAATTTTATGCACATCCATTTAATGGTCACTTTGACAAGCTGTATTATACTAGTGCGATAGATACATTGTACATATGTATGGAGTTTAGTTGTCTTTTACTTACTTTCTTTTGACACAAGAAAGGTGGAGATACTAACCAGCATAACCTACATTAATTCTAGAAAGAGATCGATCCATACCCGCACAACCTTCCTGCCGTTCGTGACTTCAAGAACGTCTGCTGCCTTTAAGCTCTCCGCTGTGAAGTGACGTTAAACAACCGAATTTGCAGATTGACAAGTAGATCCTCGTTTACTTATATTGAACAAGCCATTACAAAAACATAGCGATTGCTACGAAAAGGAATTTATTTCCCCTAACTACCTCGTCATGATCAAGTTCGTGCCATTAGCGGTCATTTTTTTAATATTTCAAAATACTAGGACCCTTATGGCCATGATCATGATATCGCTTTCGAAACACGTTAAATTACAAGACCTTGCAAGGAAACAAGCGCATAAAATGAGAGTAGGAGACACGAAAATAATTATCTTAATTTAATGAATGTTTTGTTCATTTATTATTATTCAGTGTATTATTTATTCATTAAGTTTCAATTTTAGCCGACAGTTAGTTGTGTTCATAAAAATATACAACATTATCACAAGATGAAAGGATTTATAAGATGAGCGTTTCTGTTTACGGGTACGGGCGCACTAAAACGAAGAATACCTGAATACAGTGTATCTAAAGGTCGATTTCCGTGTACGTGTACAGGTTATTTACTAATAATAGTAATCGTACCTGGAAATGATATATCTCAAGGAGTCTTGTTTCCGTGTACGTGCACAGATAAATTACCTTTTGGTAAACCACCTTCTATATATATAGCCCGGAACATAAAAATTGACGCCATTACCTTTTATACGATTGCGTGGAAAACGTATTTGTCTACCAGTACTCGAAGGTAGAAACGAGTTGTATTCCATTCGCTTGCGTTTTGAACGGATATGTTTTTGGTAACTTCCTTAGACCTGCAAAATGACATAACGTTGAAACATGTTAGACTTTCAATTACCTTAGCGTCAACCACATGCGACCGTGACGGGATATTAGACTGACATCTAGCCGGAACTAGTAATACGGGTAGAATATGACCTTTGAAAACACAAAGGGGCTTAATTGCTTTCTAGCAAGGATCTTAAAATTGTCGTAGTCAAATGGCGTTTAAGGTTTCCATGAATAACATGTACCAAAGGATCCTTCTATTGGTGACATTTTCAATTACAATCGAAGGTAAGTTTTAGACGAATTATGTACATTTCAGTGACACAACGAAAAACTTTAGTTGCAAGATCACAGTCACCAATATGTTATAAAAGGAATCAGATCACCATGACTGTTTGAGTGCAAGCATCTGGAGTTCTAATTGTTTATTTCTACTTGATGGTTAAAAAAAAAAAGCATAACTTTGTTGACTTTATTCAAACAGTAAACTATTTCATAGTAACACGCTTTAGCGTATGTATGAAAATCATCACTGATATGTATGAAAAATGAGTTGCGCAAGTGTGGCTCCACGAAAGGCAGACTTTAATTGCTTCTTACATTATAAGACAGTGTTATTTTTTTCACCTTTGAATCAGTAACCCGCTCATGGGACCATATAGAAAACAGACTTTTAAAAATTCTCAAATAAGTCTGTCTTTTACTAGTAAGAGTTATGATTCATGATTTGAATAAGACATATAAATATACCTCGTCCTCTTGCTTTTTACAAGGTTAAACCCTAAAATGATCTAAGCGCCAACAGCTGCGCCAAAACAGTTGAAGTTAGGCATCCAAGAAAAACACACAAAAAAAAGTTTGTCCGTTCTTGGATAAACCTTTTTCCACGTCCTTAGTCCATGACCTATGATGTTCACAGCAAGTGGCCATGTGAATGTTTAATGTTAATGAATCGCAAGCTTTGCAATACTCCCAACGTATTGAAAATCTAGCCAAGGTAAGGGCCAGGGAAAGGTCTGAAAGACTAATCAGTCAGTCAGTTAGAGTGCATGAAATGGATGAGGTAAACTGTAACCAATCAACTGTCAATACTGGCGGATCTAGGAGAGGGACCTGGTAGGGACCCTGTAGGCGTCGGTTAGAGAGTGGGCCCTAAAGTTACCCTTGAATCTGGATCCCGTCGTTAAAATTTAAGCATCGGGCGTTCTTAAATTTACGAAAACAAAGCGAAAGTCATCACGACCTGTTTGTATATTATACTGGGAATGTCACGCATCCGTGTTTGGGAAGTTTTGACTTGGAAAAAACACGAAAAAAAAGCCCTTTTTCCTTTCAAGCAATGTTTTTAAACCTATAAACTCACCTAACATGTTTTCAGTGAACCTCGATAGGTTTTACTACCGGTTGATCAGGCAGGACTCTGTTCCGTTTGCATCAGTATTCAGGGCGTATTTAACAGGACATTGTCTTTTTATAGAAAATATAATTTCAGAGCCCAAGGATGCATGTAAACCAATGAAGCCTTGTATTATGCTTTATTCACTCAGGGTCAATCTAAACCATTCACTTGATTAAGTCAGAAGCTAGTTTACAGTGCACTGGTAATTTCTGGGTACATGTACAGGTGTAGGCGTGACGCTGAAGTAGTTACCCTAGGATTTCAGGACCTTAAATCACAGCGTTCTATAAAAATACTGAACTCCCGGTGTATTTTGGCGCATTGATTGTTACTGTAAGAAAAG